CACCAACGGCAACAACGAATCTACTGGCCGCCCTGCAATCATAGAGTAACGAGCTTCAACAATATTTGAGAACTCCTAAAATGTTACCAACAATCCACAACAAAGAGCCAACTTTGATGTCTTGGAATATTGGAAAACCAGAAAATATATTTTTCCGGTATTATCAAGACTTGTCTTGGATGTTTTTGCTGTTCCAGTCTCAACCGTCTCATCCGAACAAACATTTACTGCAAGTGGAAGAATTTTAAATGAAAGGAGGACTAAACTTTCACAAAAAATGATTGAAGTCCTCACATGTCTTCGAGATTGGGAACGGTAGCGCCATCAAGGTCAATACGAGGTTGTCGACGATACTTTAATAGAATCATTTCAATTTTATAATATAGATGATACGAATGAGGGAGGTCCTAGTGAACCCCAAAATTAGTTGTTTTGTAAATTGTAACTTGTAAATTAATTGTCAATTATTGCACTCTTTTTTCTTTACCAAGTTTTTGTCCCATTGGGTTTTTCGTGGTAAGGTTTTTAACGAGGCAATAATTATTGTAATTTCTTATTTTATTTTTTAATAAATGAATAAATTTAATTTTTCTTATATTACAATTTTAATGTATTAAAATTGAATTAATATTTGGAATGTTAACCAAAAAAATTTTAATTTAATTTAATTATTGATATTTGAAAAGAAGTTAACTAAAAACAATTACATTTATTCATTTATAAATTGTTAATTATTCATTTGAAAAGTTAATTAAACATTTAAACCCTAAACAAAAAAAAAATCAAAAAAAAAAAAAAAATCAAAAAGAGGGTTAACCCAGCCCAACCCGCGGCCTAACCCAGCGGGTTAGGGTTGGCGGTCCAGGTTGGGCCAACCAATTCCCCAACATTGGCGGGCCTAACCTGGCCTGCCAATGTTGGCGAGCAGGTCAGGACCAACCCGCCACTTTGCGCAACCCGCAGTGGGTCGGGCCGGGCGGGCTACTTTTCCACCTCTACTGACACTATAGGTTGTAGTCTCAAACTAAAGAGCTCAAACTATGTTTGGCGCAATCGGGTGTTGAGAGCTAGGACTGTGATCTGAGAGCTTGGAGCGATCCGAAGCTAAGCGTGATCTAATAACTGACATGAAATGTCCAGTAGATGAATTCCTAGAGGGAGCTAACATCAGAAGCCCAAACGCCCGACTTAGAGGCCTTAAACGAATAAGCCAACTTAAACAACCATAACTTTTGATCTGGGAGGAGTTTTGGAGCCCGTAAGATATCCATGGAAAACTTGTTCCGAGCTTTACGTCGTGGCAATTAGAAAAGCCAATTGGGGTCACTTTCGGAGCCAAAATCCACCATTTTAGCATGTTTCGGGGCTTTTTTTAGTTTTCTACTCATTTTTTCTAACGCTAGGAGCTAGTTGCGATCTGAGAACTAGGAGCTGATCGCGATTTGAGAGCTAGGAGCTGATCGCGATCTGATAAGAGCTCGACTTGACAGTCTACGGCATGCGATTTGAGCGATCTGAACGATTTGATGCACACGATCTCAAGTAAACGAGCGAGCTTATGAGCTCAATCAGAGAGCATAAAGAGCTTGATCTGAGAACTCGAGAACTCTTTACGATCTGAGAGCTTGAGAGCTCTTTGCGATCTAAGAGTTTAAGGAGTTCAATCAAAAAACAAAAGAAGTTCGATCAAAAAGCGCGAAGCTTGATCTGAGAACAAAAAGTTCAATTAGAAAGCGTGGAGCTTGATCTGAGAACTCGAGATCAGTGATCTAAGCGCTCGAAAGCGCGATCTAAATTACCTAAACAAGTGATCTCAACTAGGGGTGTTCAAAAGAACCGGTTGGAACTAGAACCGACGAATACCCTGGGTTTGGTTTCGGTTCCTACCCAGAACCAATCGTCAATGGGGAACCGAAACCAGGAACCAGGAACCAAGACTAACATAAAATAAAATTAAATATTAGGGGGGTTAATAAAAACTTTTGTAGAAAAAGTAAAGTAAATAAATTTATATTTATAATTCATAACATTAAAAGTAAATTGGTTTGACTTTTGAGAATCTACCTTTACAAAGTAATGGAGTTTGTAATTTTGAATTTATAATTTGCAATTTTATTTTTGTTAACAAGTGCCAGGTGGGGGGGTATTTGTAAGTTTTTAAGGGTTTTTTTGCCATTTTAAAAACTTTTGGGGGGTCATTGTAATTTTATAGGGTACTCAGAACCAGAGCCAGAACCGTTGTTACAGGTTTTGGTTCTGGGTACCTAGGAACCGGAACCATCGGTTCTTATTCTGGTTCCAAATTTCAAGGAACTGTCAGTTCCGGTTCCAGTTCCGATGCCTTCAAAAGTATAGGGTACCCGAAACCGAACACCCCTAATCTCAACGATCTTGAACGCTTAATCTAGATAATATGAGTGTGCGATCTACGATATGGCCACGCGATCTGGGCAATGTGAACTCGTGATCTCAACGATCTTGAACGCGCGATCTAGATGATTTGAGCGCACCATCTGCGATCTGGCCACAAGATCTAGACGATCTAAAAGCGTGATCTCAACGATCTTGAACTCGCGATCTGGATGATCTGAGCGTCCGATCTGCAATCTGGCCACGCGATCTGGGCGATCTAAACGCGTGATCTCAACGATCTTGAACGTGTGATCCGGATGATCTGAGCTTGCGATCTGCGATCTAGCCACGTGATTTGGGCGATCTGAACGCGTGATCTCAACGATCTTGAACACGCGATCCAGATGATCTGAGCGTGCGATCTGAATGCGTGATCTCAACGATCTTGAACACGCGATCCAGATGATCTGAGCATGCACTCTGGCCACGCGATCTGGGCGATCTAAACGCGTGATCTCAATAATCTTGAACGCGCGATCCAGATGATCTAAGTGTGCGGTCTGACCACGCAATCGAAGAACTCTGATGCATGTGATCTGCGATCTGGCCACGTGATTGAAGGGCTCTGATGTGTGCAATTTGCGATTTGGCCACGCGATTAAAGAATTCTGATGCGTGCGATCTGCAATCTGGCCACGTAATCTGAGAACTCTAATGCATGCGATCTACGATCTGACCACGCAATTGGAAAACTCTGATGCGTGCGATCTGCGATCTGACCACGCCATCCGAGAACTTTTGATGCATGCGATCTACGATCTGGCCACGCGATCGGAGAACTCTGATGCGTGCGATCTATGATCTGGCCACGCAATCGGTGAACTCTGATGCGTGTGATCTGACCACGCCATCGGGGAACTCTGATATGTGGGATCTGCGATCTGACCACGCCATCTGAGAGCTTAGAAGTAGGTTTGAGACCTTCATGGGCCACCAAATTGTTGATGTTTGATTTTGACACCAACGACTCACACGTGCAAAATGCTAAGCGGGCTTAGAGGTTACATGTGATATGGAAATGTGTAGCAAAAGAGTAAATAAAAGGCAGTTTTTAAAGTGGTTCGGATGCTCAAAATCGATTCCTACGTCCACTAGTATTTTATTATTCTCTGACTATTTCTATGATATTACCTGTAAGACATACAAAGATGAAGAAATACTTTGCTTACAGAGAGAAATAATGAAGCTCAAATGTTTGCCTAGCTCTTATCTGCCCAACCCCCTCTTTTTGTGAAGAGAAGTGATAATTTATACACATTTGAGGTCAATATAACGAGTGTTTTTGTAAGTTGCCTTGACACATAGAGAGCTCTTATTCATCTTTATCTGAAAATGAGATAAGGTTGGTATAAAATATATCTGCGACAGTATGAGCTTGACAACTAATATACTTTATCTTTTAGTCACTTGTTGAACTGACAGCGTGACCTTTTAGACACAAATACTCTCCAGTGGAGGTGGTTCAGGAAGCTATTTGCTTTCCTCAGCTGATGATGCCAGGCATGCTCTGTTATTATTATTATTATTTTCATTGGTTAGCTCCTTATTGACAAATGAGAAATTAATTAATGTTTTTCAATGCCGTGCAGGCAAGTTGCGAATTACTTGTGGGACAATTTTCTTGATGGTCAATCAAGCTCACGTCCATTAGGTGACGCAGTTTTAGATGGTATTGATTTTGAAATTGAGGGAGGCACTACACAGAACTGGACGAACTGGCGAAGGCCTTATCAGGATTTAACCGGAAAGTGTATTTATCAGCAGCTCCTCAATGTCCGTACCCTGATGCATGGGTGGGTGGTGCATTAAGTACTGGCCTATTTGATTACATTTGGGTCCAATTCTATAATAACAATCCTTGTGAATATTCTGGTAGCGGAGACAGCCTTAAGAACGGTTGGAATCAGTGGACATCAAATCAACCTTTAAGCCTAGTATTTTTAGGACTGCCTGCGTCTCCTGAAGCAGCTGGGAGTGGCTATATTGCTCCTGATGTGCTTAACTCTCAGATTTTACCGTCTATTAAGAAATCTTCAAACTATGGCGGTGTCATGCTTTGGTCAAGGTATTATGACAACGACTATAGCTCCGCTATTAAGCCAAATGTTTGATTAAACTACTGCCTTTTCTTCTTCGACTTAATTTTAGCTTAAACAAAAAGTTCTACCTTAGTTTCGACTTAATTTTTGCTTAAACAAAAAGTTCTACCTTAGCTCTTGATGATGTAACAATACTAAGGACTCAGTTTTTTCAATAGAATTATATTTCACGCCAAGGATTCTTTTATAAATAGTTAAAAAGATTAATTATCTATCAATCCCAATATTATAATGTATTATCAACTTCTCTGTTTAGCAATACGTCCGGATTAAATTTAACCCAATGTATATTTTGAAAAGTCTTCCGAAGACTATTCAATTGGAGGACTTTCTAACCTCCAAGACACGTTTAATAAAATATTAATTAAACCACTGTAACTTGAAGTATTAACTGGGCTAAAACGAAAGCATTGTTACATGCTAGTCTATATAAGAACGTGTTTCTCAATAAATGTTCAACCAAGCAATATACTAGCCCACCACACTACAATGGCTCATCAATATCTGAACACTATAGGCCTACTCTGCCTCATGCTAGCTGCCGTCATCAGCGGCTCTAATGCCGGTGTGATCTCCGTGTACTGGGGTCAGAATGGAAATGAAGGAAGCTTAGCAGATGCTTGTGCCACTGGCAATTATGGAATTGTGAACATAGCTTTCTTATCCACCTTTGGTAATGGCCAGACCCCGTCACTCAATCTCGCTGGCCACTGTGATCCTGCCTCTAATGGTTGCACTGGTTTGAGCTCCGACATTAAAGCTTGCCAGAACCAAGGAATTAAGGTCATGCTCTTTGTTGATGCTGAATTTTAACACCAACGACTCATAAGTACAAAATACTAAGCAGGCTTAGAGGTTACACGTCATGTAGAAATGTGTAGCAAGAGAGTAAATAAAATGCGGTTTTTAAAGTGGTTCGGATGCTCAAAAGTGATTCTTACGTCCACTGGTATTTTATTATTCTCTAACTATTTCTATGATATAGTCCGTAAGGCATACAAAGATGAGGAAATACTTTGCTTATATAGAGAAATAATGAAACTCAAATGTTTGCCTAGCTCTCATCTATTCAGCCCCCTTTTTTCGTGAAGAGAGGTGCCAATTTATACACCTTTAAGGTCAATGTAATGAGTGTTTTTGCAAGTTACCTTGACACATGGAGAGCTCTCATTCATCCTTATCTTAAAATGAGATAGGGTTAGTATAAAATATCTCTGAGACGGTATGAGCTTGACAGCTAGTACATTTTGTCTTTTAGACACTTGTTGAGCTGACATCAGCATGACTTTTTAGGCACAACAGAACCCCCCCAGTTTTTGGAGCACGTAATCGCGCTTCAAAAACTTAGGTTTTTGATATGAATGGCTGTCACACTATTAGAGGTGGAACAAATGGGTCGGGTTAGGCGGGTCAACCCTAACCCGACCAGCAATGAAGAGGGTTGAACCCGGACCACCAATATAAAATCCGGGTTGAACCCAACCCGGCAGCAACCCTCGGGCGGGCCGGGTTGCAAAATGGCAACCCACCAACCCAGCGGGTTGCTGTTTTGTCTCTTCTAAGAAGGACCGCAAACCCGTCGGGTTGACTGGGTTAGCTGTTGTCAACCCGGCAGGTTGGCTGTTACACACTAACGGTCAACCCGCTGGGTTGACCCGAACAGCCAACCCGACGAGTTGGCCAAAAAAAAATAAAAAATTTAATTTGTTTTTTCAAATTACCCCTTTACCTTTGAAATATAGTCGTTGGAAGGGTCTTTTTCGTCATTTTCCTTTCCCTTTTTTTTTTTTTCTGTAAATTGGCCCTAAACTCTCACATTTTTCTCGCAACTCAAATTCTCTCATTCTCTCATATTCTCTAATCTCTAATCTCTAATCTCTCAATTATTCATTTATTCTCTTAATCTCTTTGTTATCAATTTGCTCGTATTTTAATTTTTATTAGTTTTTGCAATTTTTAATTCATATTTCCAATTTTCCAAATTCCAAATTCCAATTTCCATAGTTCCAATTCTCTTTCTTTAATTTTATTTCTTCTACCACAATTTTTTTTTTTACACTACAATGGATAGAATTTCCCCCCATCAATACAATGATGAAGGAAACTATACCTAGTCTTAGTCTGCTGATTTTACTAACATAAATGCAGGAGGAGATTCAAATAGTCCCGTTTTCCATTCCCAGAATTCGATAACACCTCAAAATATGCCCCCGATTCCAACAGCTCCGGTGGTTTTAGAAGTCATCCTCGTCCAACTTTATCTCAAGCTGAGGCGGGTTCATCAACTGCCGTCGAAACCGAAGACAGACACATATCAAACTTTGGGCGCATTTCAAAAGTTTTACGAGACAGAAAATGGCGTTCAAGTCAAGAAAGCAAGATGAAATACTGTGGAATATTTATAAAGTGATTCAGTAATGGTACTAGTACTTTAAAAGGCATGCTAATAAACATATTAATCAACATGGAAATAGATAAAGCAATCAAACTCAAATAACTAATATGGGTACTACTTAACGTTATATTATGATGTATATATCGAACCTTAGCTTTATATATTGCTGCAATTGATCAACCTATTAATATGACTGAAGATAAATATTTTGAAAGATTGTTAAAATTCTTTTTTCCAGGATTTAAAGTTTTCTAAAACTACAACTAGAAATGATTAATAAAATCGTTTAGAAAAATGAAATTAGAATTAAAAAATAAAATACATACTTATCATGTTAGTGTAGCTCTAACTGCTGATATTTGGAGTGGTAGAGCTAAATAAGATTATATTGTATGACTAGTCATATTTAGATAATGAATGTAAATTAAATAAATCTTTATTAGGATTTAGATTAAGGATGTGATCATAGTGGTCAACAAATAAAAAAATTGTTGAAGTTTTAGAAGATTATGATATGTAGTAAAGTGATAGTTTAACTTTAGATAATGAAGTTCTAATAGTAATGCTATAGATTTTTTCAAAGTAATTATCTTTATAAATAATTTGAAGTTTTTCACAACGTTGTGCCTGCCATATATTATTTAATTGTGAAAAGTGGTATGAAAAAAATTAAAGAAAATATTGATAGAATAGAGATTGTTTAGCTTGGATTACTGGTAGTAATAAAAGAAATGCTGAATTTCAAGATGCTTGTATAAAACAAATATGTCTCTAGAACATTTGCATTAGACATGCATGGTAGAGGATAGTACTTATTTAATGCTTGATTCATGTTTACCTTATGCTAATTTAATTAGTTATTTTGTAGCAAATAATAGAGGTCCTCATTATTTGGTGAAAATGATTGACAAATAGCTAAAGTATTATTCTTTTCTTAAAAATTTTTACCAATCACTTTACAACTTTTGGTGTGTTTATCCTACTAGTCCATTGGTAATACATACAATTGTAAAAATTTCAGAGTTATTTACAAAAAACAAAAACAATGAAATTTAATAGAACCAATAAAGGCAATTGAAATTTTAAAAAAATATTTTAAACCCATTCCTTTTCTTTATTGTTTAGGTGCTATTTTTGATCTAGAATTAAACAAGAAGGTTTAGAAAATGGTTTAGAAACATTATCTGAAAATTTACAAAACTTCATTTGTCAATCAAATAGGAGATGTAAAAATTGTCTTGCAGGGTATTTTTCCAATATGAAAACAGGTTGGGAACCCGCAAAGACACGAAATACAAAGGGAATTTTCAAATGAAGAAACAAATGAAGACTTCTACAGCTGGAGTGCATTTAGTAGGCCGAAGAGGAACCGAACCCGAAGCACAGGTGCAACCTCCTCTTAGAAGCACCAACGGCAAAAACGAATCTACTGGCGCCCTGCAATCATAGAGTAAGCGCTTACAATATTTGAGAACTCCTAAAATGTTACCAACAATCCAACAAAGAGCCAACTTTGATGTCTTGGATATTGGAAAACCAGAAAATATATTTTTCGGTATTATCAAGACTTGTCTTGGATGTTTTTGCTGTTCAGTCTAACGTCTCATCCGAACAAACATTTACTGCAAGTGGAAGAATTTTAAATGAAAGGAGGACTAAACTTTCACAAAAAATGATTGAAGTCCTCACAGTCTTCGAGATTGGGAACGGTAGCGCCATCAAGGTCAATACGAGGTTGTCGACGATACTTTAATGAATCATTTCAATTTTATAATATAGATGATACGAATGAGGGAGGTCCTAGTGAACCCAAAATTAGTTGTTTTGTAAATTGTAACTTGTAAATTAATTGTCAATTATTGCACTCTTTTTCTTTACCAAGTTTTTGTCCCATTGGGTTTTTCGTGGTAAGGTTTAACGAGGCAATAATATTGTAATTTCTTATTATTTTTAATAAATGAATAAATTTAATTTTTTTTATATTACATTTTAATGTATTAAATGAATTAATATTGGAATGTTAACAAAAAAATTTTAATTTAATTAATTATTGATATTGAAAAGAAGTTAACTAAAAACAATACATTATATTATAAATTGTTAATTATTCATTTGAAAAGTAATTAAACATTTAAACCCTAAAAAAAAAAAAAATCAAAAAAAAAAAAAATCAAAAGAGGGTTAACCCAGCCCAACCCGCGGCCTACCCCGCGGGTTAGGGTTGGCGGTCCAGGTTGGGCCAACCAATTCCCCAACATTGGCGGGCCTAACCGGCCTGCCAATGTTGGCGAGCAGGTCAGGACCAACCCGCCACTTTGCGCAACCGCAGGGGTCGGGCGGGCGGGCTATTTCCACCTCTACTGACAATATAGGTTGTAGTCTCAAACTAAAGAGCTCAAACTATGTTTGGCGCAATCGGGTGTTGAGAGCTAGGACTGTGATCTGAGAGCTTGGAGCGATCCGAAGCTAAGTGTCTAATAACTGACATGAAATGTCCAGTAGATGAATTCCTAGAGGGAGCTAACATCAGAAGCCCAAACGCCCGACTTAGAGGCTTAAACGAAAAGCCACTTAAAACACCATAACTTTTGATCTGGGAGGAGTTTTGGGCCCGTAAGATATCCATGGAAAACTTGTTCCGAGCTTTACGTCGTGGCAATTAGAAAAGCCAATTGGGGTCACTTTCGGAGCAAAATCCAATTTTAGCATGTTTCGGGGCTTTTTTTAGTTTTCTACTCATTTTTTCTAACGCGTAGAGCTAGTTGCGATCTGAGAACTAGGAGCTGATCGCGATTTGAGAGCTAGGAGCTGATCGCGATCTGATAAGAGCTCGACTTGACAGTCTACGGCATGCGTTTGAGCGATCTGAACGATTGATGCACACGATCTCAAGTAACGAGCGAGCTTATGAGCTCAATCAAGAGCATAAGAGTTGATCTGAGAACTCGAGAACTCTTTACGATCTGAGAGCTTGAGAGCTCTTTGCGATCTAAGAGTTTAAGGAGTTCAATCAAAAACAAAAGAAGTTCGATCAAAAAACGCGAAGCTTGATCTGAGAACAAAAAGTTCAAGAAAGCGTGGAGCTTGATCTGAGAACTCGAGATCAGTGACTAAGCGCTCGAAAGCGCGATCTAATTACCTAAACAAGTGATCAACTAGGGGTGTTCAAAAGAACCGGTTGGAACTAGAACCGACGAATACCCTGGTTTGGTTTCGGTTCCTACCCAGAACCAATCGTCAATGGGGAACCGAAACCAGGAACCAGGAACCAAGAAACATAAAATAAAATTAAATATTAGGGGGGTTAATAAAAACTTTTGTAGAAAAGTAATGTGAATATAAATTTATTTCATAACATTTAAAGTAAGTGGTTTGACTTTTGAGAATCTACCTTTACAAAGTAATGGAGTTTTGTAAT